CAGAGATAGAAACAGAAGGGGCGGGGGGGGGGGGGAGAGCCTTCCCCTAGAGCTGGTACCCTGCATTCATTCAGACCTCTGGCATCCTGGTTGCTATGGGTCAGAATTGACTCAGTGTCAGTGAGTTGTCCCAGCCTGAATTGTAAAAAATAAATTTCTGTTCATGGAAGCTCCCCACTTGTGGCATGCCTGCTACAGTACCACTCGGAGATGGCGGCACCCACATGCCCAGACTCATCTCATACCACAACACCGCTAGAGGGTTCTAGTCCTACTGTTCCATTCCTTGAAGATGCCGCATTCATTCCTCATTCAGGACCCCTGTCCTTGCTGTTCCCTCCACCTGCACACCTCATGCTAGTTCTGTCTGTCAGGGCTCACATTTCGGCCCTCAACCTCCAAACAAAGACCCTCCCAGGGACCCTTAGTGCAACCAGTTAACTGTAAAGGTGGGCAATTCAAATCCTCCCGGAGGTGCCTCGGAGGATAGCCCTGAGAGTCTTAAAACCCCTATGGGTTACTGCAACTACTGTTAAGAAACAAAGTGTGTGTGAAGTGTTGAGAGGAAAATGAATTTGCACTGTACACTGTCACTCAAAGCACAGTTAAAAACGAAACAAAAACACAAAATCGCCCCCTGGATTCCAGCGCCTGTCTCAGATCTCAGTCCCTCCACAGCAGTGGCCACAAGTAGTCATCATTTTACACGGTTGTTTTGTTCCCTCAGCCAGACTCTACTGCGTGGGGGCAGGGCCCATCTCCTACTCTTTCCCGTCCCACCTCTTTCCAGTGTTTGGTGCACAGTTGGTGGGTCCCGACAGATGGTGCTCGGTGGTGCCAACGATTTGCAAGCGATAGCTGATCCAGAAACAAGTTGGTGGCTCTAATACACCCGCTGGCACCATGGAACAAAGGCCTGGCAGCCTGCTTCCATGAAAATGACCGTCAAGTAACCCTTTTCAGTTCTACTTTCTAACACCTGAGGTGGCTCTAGGTCAGAGCCGACTCCACCGAAACTTGTTTTGTTTTGAAAGGAATCCGTGAAATGTCCAAGGCCACCAGCCACCGCTATGGAGCCTGTGGTGCACGATGCAATTCCGTGTACCTTGCTCCTTCACTTGGCTAAGTCCTAGGCATCCCTCGTGGCCACGCTTAAATCTCCCACTTTCCCCTATTCACTCCTGTAGTGTAGATGCGTTTTTCTGTGACTGTCTCGCCCACTGGACGGTAATCTCCAGAGGGAAGGGCGCTGGTTTGACACATTCGCCCGCGAGTCCCCATATCGTAGCACGAAACCCACAGCCGGCGTCCAACTACTTCCTAAAGTCGTCAATGACCGGCGGCGGAGCATTGAGCATGCGCACCTAGGCTTTCTGGCTCACCAGGTGATGGGGGCGTGTGCACATTCGGATGCCTTCTTTCCTCCCTGCCCTGTCCTTCACCTCCCCCTAGGGAGCCACCCCCATCCTCGCGATATTACCCTTCTCTTGGGGTCTCAGGGTTCGGCCCATCTGGGGCAGCCGGGACTTGCACAGACCCATTCCGCCAGCGGGCCCAGCGGAGGTCGCGCCCCATCCCCGCCTAGGCCCTGACCCCCTTTTGCCTCTGCTCAACGTCACAAGGGCCCTTGGCCCGACTAGTTTGACGAACGAGGGGACGCACCCACCCCCGCGAGGCTCAGGGGAGAAAATGAACCTCCAAACAGGTCCCGGCGGGGCCTAAAGCAACACGGC